GGGGGTTGTATATTAATAATGGGCTTTTCTCTCATTTTTTCACCCGTCATAGAGATTGCCTTCACTGTTGAAGAACACATGAATTTGGCCTTAATGAAACACGATGATGCCTTCTTCCGTATGGAGCAGCCTGTGCATCCTAACATGCTGTCTATGTAGGGAGGACCAGAATCACTCAGATACTCTAAACTAAAGAAAGGTCAAGCACTTTCAGGTCGGCTTGTGAGAGGAACATATCTGTGTGATCTCCTGGAGGTTTTGATCGTTGTGTTTAGCTGAGAGCTCAAATCCTGTGACATTTAGAAACATTCTCCATCTTGTTCCTCCGTGTGTCTCCAGACGTCTCTCTGTCAGATCTCTCAGGCTGAAGCCACAGCTGAACATTATTAGACAGCTGTGTTGCTTGATGGATGAAGGGCGGCTCATTTCATGCATAATATTGAAACCAACAACTATCAGTCGATGTGTGTCCCAGAATATTTCCAAATATTTTCCCAACATCTTCCACAATATAAACATAATATATTGTCAGTACAACAATAAAGTTAATATCATTCATTTTCTTTATCTAATCTTCACTCCTCAATGTAATATGAGACGGCTTTTCTATCTTTAACTTTATTAAATGCATCAAATATGATATTTAATAATAATTTCTAGTAGCGCATTACAGTTAGATCCCATTTATTAACTAACAATGAACTACTTCTACAGCATTTATTCTACTTAATGTTAATTTCAGCATTAATGCATTTTTAAAATCACAAACTTTGCATTTATTAAAGCACTGCGAACTAACATAAATAGTTGTATTTTTGTTACAAGCCACAGCTGAACATTATTAGACAGCTGTGTTGCTTGATGGATGAAGGGCGGCTCATTTCATGCACAATATTGAAACCAACAACTATCAGTCGATGTGTGTCCCAGAATATTTCCAAATATTTTCCCAACATCTTCCACAATATAAACTAACTTTGTTTAATTTTGTTTAAAATCACAAACTTTGCATTTATTAAAGCACTGCGAACTAACATAAATAGTTGTATTTTTGTTACAAAATATTAACAAAGGTTAATAATAAATGCTGTAAAAAGTATATTGTGTATTGTTAGTTCATGATAAGTAACGCACACACTCCCACGCACACTCTCTCACACACACACACACACACTCACTGACACACACACACACACACACACATTCACTCACACACACACACACACACACACACTAATATCATCACCCATAAAGCAATACCAGAATTAATTTTAAAATTTCAGATTTCATTTTAATTCTTAAATCAATGGATTTTGACATTTCTGAATGTTGTATTAGCTTTTATTTTAAATTTTTAAAGCACATTTAAATAGAAAACAATGTTGTTCCAAAGTGCTGCACAGAATCAAAAGTCCAATAAAACCACAAATCCACAACAATCAACAATAATAATAAAGCACCTCATGTCAAGCATGAATAAATTATAGCAGCACATCGTCTGGTATGGTAGCGCTTTAAAGGTTTGGTGTCTCAGCGCTAGCCCATCATGCTGGTGTCAGTGCTCTGTGCTGATGGAGTCTGACAGCAGGCGTCTGAAGACGGAGGAGAAAGCACTGCTGCTCTCATGATCCTCCTCATCCCAGAGCTCATTTACAGTCTGTGTGTTCACACGCTCGTGATCACAGTGCCTCTAACACACGATTCTGCTGCTGCGCAGGTGAGAAGGTCATGCAAGACGACGAGTTCACCTGTGACCTCTTCCGCTTCCTGCAGCTGCTCTGTGAGGGACACAACTCCGGTGAGTCTCGCCGCGTCATCCGCGCTTCGCTTTGACACCGAGTGTTACTCTAGCATAGGGCTGGGTGATATAGCTAAAAAATGTATCAACGATATAATGTTTCATATCGTTCGGTATCGATAATTATTGACATTTTTATAACCTTTTTTAAAACAGAGCAATAGACTTTTTTTTTTAATTTAACCACTGTATTTTTAAATTAACCCAATTTATTGAGACAAACAACAAATATTTTTTGTTTTAACAGTCAAACACACAATGAAAATTAAACAAATATCTAATTTCTAATGCTTTATATGCAGATTAAATAGGTCTTAAGGACATTTTTGTCTTGTCTCCCGAGGCCACAGGAGGGCGCAATGAGCAAAAAAATGCAGCAGGCCGATATTTGGCATTTTTCAAATATCGGCATCGGCCGATACGTTTTTCTGCCTGGCCGATGTGTTCGAGGCGGGACTTTTATTTCGACGGCGCTGAAAACGACAGTGCTCACATTCTCCCTCTTCATTGTTCGTTGTCGTCGTTTAACAGTTCTGCCTAATACAGATAGAAGTCTATCTAATAATCAGATAGAACTGCTGAACAAATGAATTAAAAGGTATACAAAAAGTATTATAACGTTTGCTTTTATATTATTAGTAACAGAAAGGCAGACATAATACTTTCTCGTTTGCCATCAGCATTCAGCAAATACCCGTATCATTTAAACAAACCTTTAAATGACTAATGAACATTTAATTTCACAAACCTTGCAGACTTAGTCGAATCCAGATCTTGTGAAGTGTGCATTTGTATATTGCCTGATCGCGTGTGCTCTGCGTGACGGTCGATCCGTGCGAATTGAATCCGGACAGAAGGATTGAGTTCAGCTTCACTGGAGACGCGTGATCAACTTTAAACTCGTTATTTCAAACTATGCTGATTTATGCATTTGCGCACTGTCGTATTCGTGTCATTTTTACTGCGTGCTGCATGTAAAACTAGTGTTACCTTGGCTTTAGTTGAAAAAATATGATTCCCCAAAGCACACAAACTTCCCAGATTACCGACTGCCCTGTTGGTTAAAGTGTTTACTTTCTTTTTGTTTATATATTTTAAAATATTTCTTTATTTGTGAAAAATACTGTAATAGAATTATTGAATCAGGAAGTTGTCATCTAAAGTATAAGTATGTTTATTTTACACATTTATTTTTAATTTAATTAATTTTCAAATTATTTCAAGTTTCTCAAACATTAATTAATTAATTACTTCATTATCACCGCATCTCGTGTTCCACTGATGACGCTCCCTAACGCACATCTAACATTCAAATGCAAATGTTTATTTTAAACTCGACTAATATTAATTCTTTATTCACAATCTCCTCATCACAGGCAGCACAGCACTCAGCATGTGTTTGTGTTTGTGTGTGCTGTCTGCGTCACTCAGAGCACGTGCCTATATCCTGCACTATATCGAACATTTTTTATATCGATATCGAAGAAGGTGTACCGTCGATAAATATCGATAGTTTTATCGCCCAGGTCTACTCTAGCATCTCTGAGAGACTAGTATAGTGGTTTTTTATTTTAGTTAGGGTTTTTTTTTTATTATTAGTTTTTTTCCTAACAATTTACTTGCAAACTTTTCCAAAGCATCAACAAAATTTTCTCACACATTTCTGCCAAAATAAATTAAAGCATGATACACAAAAAAATTATAATAAATAACATAGAAAATAAATAAATAGAGAAACGTTAGCATAATGTACACATCTACAAATGAACATACCCATATCAAAAAAAGAAAAATCATCTATATATAAAAAATACAAATCAGAGTCTGAATCTCTGATACATATATTATGATTATATAAAATCAACACAGGTGAACATGCTTTTTATGTAGTTTATATGGTTTCTATTCAGTTTTATTTTAGCTCTAGTTGTAGGTATTTTAATTTTATCAAGTTAAACTAATTTAAATTAAAATAATTTTGTCTTAGCAACTAACTGAAATAAAATAAGTTTGTTTTTTAATACATTTTATTGATTTCAATGTATGTTAATGCTTTATTTCAAGCAACTATTTTATGGTTTTCCTTTTTTTTTACCTATGACTTTAAGTACAAACCCTGGTACTGTGTAGTAGTGTGCTTCAAATCATAGTGTTGAATATAGTCAATAGTGGAACATTATAGTTTTATAATCTCATGTACTTCTGAGTGGAAAAGGATTATAGAGGAAGATTTGATTGGATTGTGAATGGTAGACGTTACACACCTGCTAGTGAAATTAGTAAGCAAATGTCCAGTGACTTGGTGACCTATAGTTATGTCTGTAATATATGTGAACCTGGAGCACAAAACCAGTCTTAAGGGTCAATTTTTATGCATCATCTGAAAGCTGAATAAATAATCTTTCCATTGATGTATGGTTTGTTAGGATCGGACAATATTTGAAAATCTGGAATCTGAGGGTGCAAAAAAATCTAAATATTGAGAAAATCATCTTTAAAGTTGTTCAAATGAAGTTCTTAGCAATGCATATTACTAATCAAACATTAAGTTTTGATATATTTACGGTAGGACATTTACAAAATATCTTCATGGAACATGATCTTTACTTAATATCCTAATGATTTTTGGCATAAAAGAAAAATGTATAATTGTGACCCATACAATGTATTGTTGGCTATTGCTACAAATATCCCCCAGCGACTCAACACTGCTTTTGTGCTGCAGGGACACATATGATGTAGCTCTGCCTGTTCTGATAGTGACAGTAACTGTGTGTCCGTACATCAGACTTTCAGAACTACCTGAGAACACAGACGGGGAACAACACGACGGTCAACATCATCATCTCCACCGTGGATTACCTGCTCCGAGTCCAGGTGAGCGATTGCTCCGCGAACACGTCAGGATCACGCTCTCGTAACACACATCTGACACACGTGTGCTCTGCGTGTCCGCAGGAGTCCATCAGTGATTTCTACTGGTACTACTCCGGGAAAGAGGTCATCGATGAACAAGGCCAGCGCAACTTCTCCAAAGCAATCAATGTAGCCAAACAAGTCTTCAACACGCTCACAGAGTACATTCAGGTGTGATCCATCGCTCTGCTGCGCTTCAGAGCAGCTCAGAAGTCATCAGAGCACCGAGGATCTCCAGTGTTTATGATTTACACAATGGGGAAAACTTAGGCATCCAGTCATTAAAATATAATTTACTGCATAATGTAGAATATCAATGCAATCTGGCAAATTTTGACTTAATATGTGACCCTGGAGCACAAAACCAGTTATAAGGGTCAATTTTATGAAATTGAGATGTATACATCATCTGGAAGCTGAATAAATAAGCTTTCCATTGATGTATGGTTTGTTAGGATCGGACAATATTTGAAAATCTGGAATCTGAGGGTGCAAAAAAATCTAAATATTGAGAAAATCATCTTTAATAATAATAATACAATTATTATTATTGCTGTATAGTAATTGTATAATAACAATTGTTGTATAATAGTACAATTATTATTGTAACATGATTATCATTTATAATATCATCCATGTTTTCACTGTAAACTTCTGTTGAACAGCGCGGTAACACTTTACAATTAGGATCATTAGTTAACTACTTTAGTTATCATGAACTAAGAATGAACAATACTTCTATATCATTTATTAATCTTAGTTCATGTTAACATTTACTAATGCATTATTAAAATCAAAAGTTGTGCTTGTTAACATTAGTTACTGTGTGAACTAACAATGAACGACTGTATTTTCATTAACAAAGATTAATAAATGTGTTGTTCATGTTGGTTAATACATTAACTAACCTTAACTAATGGAACCTTGTTGTAAAGTGTTACCAACAGCGCTTTATTTTTATTAAAAAAATAAAAATGCAATGTTTTGCTATAAAGGAATTGCTATATTTTCATTTGATTTGAAAAAGGTTAAGTTGTTTTTAAAAAGTTTTATAAATTAATTTGATTGTGACCATTTTTAACGAAAAATGTTTTGCATCCAGAAGAAAAAAATCAAATAGGTTTCATTTTATTATTGTTATTAAACTGTTACACTTTTATGAATTCAATTGATTAGACATGCTTTTTTTTTTTTTTGCATTTTGGCCCTAAATCTCCATCATTAATCTGAATGATCCTGTTGTTTGTGTGGTTTTAGGGCCCTTGTACGGGGAATCAGCAGAGTCTGGCTCACAGCCGTCTGTGGGACGCAGTTGTTGGTTTCTTGCACGTTTTCGCACATATGCAGATGAAGCTGTCTCAGGTAAACATCTACAGTGAAGTTCAACAAACACAGCAAAGCTTCTGCAAATACAGCATGCCATGAAGCAGTGGCCCCTGTTTACCTGCTCGCTTCTCGGAGTTACTGTGATGTTTTGCTGCTGCAGGATTCAAGCCAAATCGAGCTGCTGAAGGAGCTCATGGATCTTCAGAAGGATATGGTCGTGATGCTCTTGTCCATGCTGGAAGGTGAGTTCACTTAGTGGATTGATTGACTAGTAATGCTCATGAAACGATCGTCTTTCCCTTGGTTTTAGGAAATGTTGTGAATGGCACCATTGGAAAGCAGATGGTGGACATGTTGGTGGAGTCCTCGAACAACGTGGAGATGATTCTGAAGTTCTTCGACATGTTCCTCAAACTGAAAGATCTGACGTCGTCAGACGCCTTCAAAGAGTACGACCCCGACGGCAAAGGCGTCATCTCCAAGAGGGACTTCCACAAGGCCATGGAGAGCCATAAACATTACACCCAATCTGAGACTGAGTTCCTGCTCTCCTGCGCCGAAACCGACGAAAACGAGCTCTTAGATTATGAAGAGTTCGTCGAACGCTTCCACGAACCAGCCAAGGACATCGGCTTCAACGTGGCTGTCCTTCTAACCAACCTCTCGGAGCACATGCCCCACGACTCGCGCCTGCAGACCTTCCTGGAGCTAGCCGAGAGCGTGCTAAACTACTTCCAGCCCTACCTAGGCCGCATCGAGATCATGGGCAGCGCTAAACGGATCGAGCGCGTCTACTTCGAGATCAGCGAGTCCAGCCGCACTCAATGGGAGAAGCCGCAGGTCAAAGAGTCCAAACGGCAGTTCATCTTCGACGTGGTGAACGAAGGCGGCGAGAAGGAGAAGATGGAGCTCTTTGTTAACTTCTGCGAAGACACCATCTTCGAGATGCAGCTGGCGGCGCAGATGTCCGACGCCGGCGAGCGCTCGGCCAGCAAAGAGGACAGCGAGAGAGAGAAACCCGAGGAGGAGAGTCCCGAGATGGGCTTCTTCTCCATCACCACAGTACGAACAGCTCTGTTTGCCTTACGATACAACGTGATGCTCTTAATGAAAGTACTGTCTATGAAGAGCCTAAAGAAGCAGGTGAAGAAAGCCAAGAAGATGACAGTGAAGGACATGGTGACCACACTAGTGTCCTTCTATTGGAGCGTGCTGCTGGGACTCCTGCACTTCGCCTTCAGCGTCGCTCGAGGATTCTTCCGGATCGTTTACAACAGCTTTCTCGGAGGCAGTCTGGTGGAGGACGCCAAGACCATGAAGGTGTCGGAGCTCCTGGCTAACATGCCTGATCCGACTCAAGACGAGGTGAGAGGAGAGACGGAGGAGAGCGAGAAGAAACCCACGGACAGAACCTCACCCGAGGAAGACCTGGCCGATCTGACGGTGGCCGCAGACGACACCGACCTCCTGTCCGATATATTCGGTTTGGACCTGAAGAGAGAAGGAGGGCAGTACAAACTGATGCCTCACAATCCGAATGCTAGCCTCACAGATCTGCTCAACACACCCATCCCTCCTCCGCCTACACCCTCGCCAGACCTCCGCAGGAGACACCAGGTAACAGTGCTGATGCGGTGGGTGCTAAGGTTAATGCTGTTTTTCCAAACATATTCATTGACGACCACTTTTTCCATGACTGAGACGAGACGACACTGACATCATTACAGTGACTATATCAACATGCTATATCATTTACATTTAGTCATTTAGCAGACGCTTTTATCCAAAGCGACTTACAAATGAGGACAATAGAAGCAATCAAAACTAACAAAAGAGCAACACTATATAAGTGCAAATGACAAGTCTCGGTTAGCCTAAAGCAGTACACATAGCAAGGTATTTATATATATATATACACACACATACACACAAAGAAAAACAAGTAGATTTAATGGAAAAAATAGAAAGCTAGTGTTAGTTTTTTTCATAAATAAAAAAGAAGATAAAGTAGAATTAAAATAGAATAGAAAGTGCTAGAGTTAGAGGGTCAAATGAAGATGGAACAGATGTGTTTTTAGTCACTGACGGAAAAAAGACGAGACTAAAATGTAGTTTGAAAAATAAAAACTCTATGTAGCTTAAAGAATTAGACTTCCAAGAGTTTTCATGCTTGCAGTTGCCAGATGTCAAGAGTTAAATCCCAGAGTCAGGGCTTCTTTCTTAAATGTGACCCTGGAGCACAAAACCAGTCATAAGGGTAATTTTTTTTAAAATTGAGATTTATGCATCATCTGAAAGCTGAATAAATAATCTTTCCATTGATGTGTGGTTTGTTAGGATAGGACAATATTTGAAAATCTGGAATCTTGAGGGTGCAAAAAAATCTAAATATTGAGAAAATCATCTTTAAAGTTGTTCAAATGAAGTTCTTAGCAATGCATATTACTGATCAAACATTAAGTTTTGATATATTTACGGTAGGACATTTCCAAAATATCTTCATGGAACATGATCTTTACTTAATATCCTAATGATTTTTGGCATAAAAGAGAAATGTATAATTGTGACCCATACAATGTATTGTTGGCTATTGCTACAAATATCCCCCAGCGACTCAACACTGCTTTTGTGCTGCAGGGACACATATAACAAATCAGGAAACTAGATGAGTTCAAATAAAGCATGTGTGAGTGACTCTTGATTTAGTGCAGTGATTCTGATGCCATCTCTCAAATTACAGCAGTCATGATCCGTAATCACGATTATCATTTTTAGCAAAGTAGTTTTGCAGCATGACTGAAATATTTTTATTGGCTAAAACTAGACTTAAATTCCCAGACTTAACTAAAGACTTAAACCTTAACTAAACAACAAACACGACAGGTTGACTAAATATGACAAAAACTAGAAAGGACATTTGACACAGGACTAAGACAAGTTGGAACATAAAAGATCCGTTCGATTCCAATCATTGCATGAATCTGTGAGGTTTTTAACTCTTTCGCTGTTGGTTCTGTCAGACGAAGGGCTCTTCATCCTCAGCAGACAACAGTGAAGCTGCGGAGGAGACCAAATCCGTGCCTGAGAAAGCCGAGTAAGTCCGTTGGTGGAAATGTGTAGACGATAGTGTTGATGACACCTGCATACTGAGTTCTGATTCGTGCCTTTCTAAGAGGGGAAAACGGAGAGAAAGCACCGAAGAAGAAGGAGGAAGCGGTGAAGAGGAAGGTCAGACAGCACCATGAGCCTGATCTGCAGGAGTCGGCCTTCTGGAAGAAGATCATCGCTTACCAACGCAAGCTGCTGGTGAGAGCCTGGAGATCTCAGACTCTCCGGAGCGATCGCTCGAAACACACGCGTGTGCTCTGACGCTGTGTCTCTCTCTCCTCCCGCAGAACTATTTTGCACGAAATTTCTACAACATGAGAATGTTGGCTTTGTTTGTGGCCTTTGCAATCAACTTCATTCTGCTGTTTTACAAGGTGATTCACACTTCAGCATTTTCTTGTGATGTTCATTGCTAGTGAGTAGGGATGTAACGGTTCACTCAACTCACGATTCGATTCAATTTTTTTAAAGACAAATTATAAATTAAATGTGTCCTTTTATTATTGCTTGGACAAAATACTGTACGCTTCTTTGTGAAATTGAAATATAACACTATAATAATATACTAATATAGCACTTGCATATTATTTGTTTTGATTGCTTCTATTGTCCTCATTTGTTAGTCGCTTTGGATAAAAGCATTTGCTAAATAACACAATTTTAATATAATGTAAATGTAAATAACAAGAAGCCCCAAATCAAATAAATAAGTAACACAAATAAAAGAAACTCTGCATATAAACAAACTAAGGCTTGTCTGTGCTCTTAACATTTAAAATCAGAGGCAACCGCTGCATTTTAATCACGATCCAAACAAAGATGCTGCATACATGCAACACCAGGAGTTTTTAAACTAAATTAGATTGTATAATTTCGAAATTTGAAGCAAAAACAGAATGGTTTGACTTTAGTTTTGTGAAACTATGCATAAAAAATATCTGCATGAAACAGAAACAGCAGAGGAGCTGA